CTTAAACGGCCCTAAAACACCCGGCACAACTCTGCAAACACCGCGGAACCTGCAAAAAAAACCTTTAAAAACCCTGAAACACGCCTAAAACACGCCTAAAACAACCCTAAAACACCACAGCACAGCCCTGCAAACACCTCAGAACCTGCGAACATCCCTAAAACAGTCCTAAAGCACCCCTAAAACAACCCTAAAACACCCCGGCACAGCTGTTTGATTTGCTACTGCAGAGCACTTAGAGCACCAAAAAAGCACTTGATCTGCATCGATCTACTCCTTCTGGTAATAAAAATACCATAAAATCTTACTAGGAGTAATTATATATTATGTTGTTCTGTTTATACTCAGCTGTTAAAAACACAGCTGCCTAAAATAAGCAAAGACACAAATGAGTCAGATTTTTCACAAAATGGGACTCATTTGTGTCTTTGCTTGTTTTTTAGGAGGTGAAAAGGTACAAGTACCTGTTGGAGTAAAATGTAAATGTACAAGTAAATCAGTAAAATGTACAAGTACCTTTTGGAATAAAATGTAAATGTAAAAGTAAATCAGTAAAATGTAAAAGTACTGATGGAGTTTATTGATGGATCATGGATCAAATGACCTACAGCTGTCATTTAAGCCTTATTTGAGATTCTAGATTAAATACCTGGAAATGGCAAAAAAATTCCCTGCATTATTAGCCCACTCCAGGGCAAAGAGAGGCTGCCAGGACAATAATGATCGTTCAGTGTGGCTGGTGCACACTGATTTCATCCTCAGCTGTTGGGCTCCAGTGAATCTTCAGGAAAACACAGTTTATATAGAGTAAAGAATTCAGTAAGGAATTGTAACTTGGCCAAATTTGGTCATATTTTCCTGGAAATGGGAAAATATGTCGCAGATGAGGGTAGTTTTCTGCCAATTTGAAATCCCTGGTGTAGCTTATGAAGGCATCAGGGCTTTTCAAAAGAGCTAAACAACACGTACTTTTCCTTAATTTCATTATCTGAATTGATTTGGCTTTATTGCCTAAAACTTTCCAAAGTTGTTAAACCTGCAGCAAATACCCCATCTGGAAAAAGGATCCAAGCTGGAGGTTCTGCAGGGCTGGACTGCCCATGCAAACACTATTGTGTAACTGGGACACCAGTAAGAACACGAAGGCCGGGCTGGAAACACAGAAACTTCCTTGAGTTGGGCTTGAACAAGCGCAGTGTTTTCATTTTATTTTTTTTTAAGAAAAATGTTGAAATTTTGCATAATGGTGTATTCGTGCTTGCAAGCACCTTGGAATGATGACATTGGTGAAGAAAAGAGAAAGGGATCTAATCCATAGGAGAAAAGTGATTTATCAGGATTTACTCTCTGTGTTTGGAACATCCACGGTGGGCTGAACAGAAAGGACCTTGTACTAAATATAAATTACAAACATGGCTGGGTAAGGCTGCTGGCTTGTAAGAATAAAACACCTCCAGAGGGAGCAGAACAGGGGAAGGAGCCTTCTCTTGTGAAGTTTGCAGCTCTGTGGCAGAAAAGCTTTTCTGCTGTAAGGCTTGAAGTTCACATGGCAGAAACTGTAATTTCAGACATTTCTCGTCAAAGATGTTATCTGTGCCCTGGATGAATGGGGTGCAGCAGCCTTAGAGAAAGGACAGTAAATCTGTTTTAGAGAACTTCAGCATGTGGAGTTTAGAGAAACCACTCGTACCTGCTGATGGAAGAAAGCTGGGCATCAGCAACTCTTGCTGTTTTCAGCTTGTAATAGCTGCTGTGTTCTTAAAGCTGGAAATGTTCTTTCAATGGCATTGGCTGAGAATCTTATCAAATGTTTATTTAAAGAGTATTTTTTAACCCTTTTATAATTGCAGACTTATAAAACATAACCTCAAAAAAATCTCATGCTGTTGGTATGAAGAAAAGGTGCACATTTATTAGATAATTGTTCTAGAGGCATTTTACTGTCTTTTTTGCCATATAAATATTATAATCAGTAGACCAGCAGCTGCTCCTCTGAGGTCTGCTCTGTGATCCTGGCTGAGTGCTGGCTGCTGGATTCTCCTGACCCCTGGAGCTGATTCTCAGAAATGGCAGTGGGAAATTGAGGGTGGGATGTGGAACATTCTCTGTGCTCCTCTGCCGGTTCAGCTGGGCCCAGGAAGGAGCAGGAGCTGTTGCTGGGTGTGACCAGAGCCCCTGGGGCAGAGAGCAGGGCTCAGCTGGGTCCTTGGGCTGGTGGCATCCCACACTGCTGCTGCCTCTCCATGGAGTGACCTGAGGCCCTTCTCTGACAGGACAGAGCTCAGGAGCTCAGGTTCTGCTTCGTGGAGAGGACAGACAGCTGTGTCTTATCAGCAATAAATCACTGGGGTAAGAACTCTCTCCTATGTGGAGACTTTGCACTTTTTAACTTTTGCAGATCATCCTTCAAGCGTAACTCGAGGGAGGTGTCAGCCTCACTCTTGGCTGTATATTAGCAGTTTCTCTTCTTGAAGACTCCAGAGCAGCACATATTGCAATTTCTGTAATTCTTTGCCACTGACAATGTGTGATCACATGTATGTCACACTACTTTTTGTGTCCTAATTTACCTCACAAGATAATATTTGGTGTTTTCAAAGTGCTGTGAGATTTTTCTGACAGTCTTGAAGAAAAATATTTGTTAAATTATTACTAAACCATACCAGATGGGAAAGATGAGAGGAGGGAAAATAGAGCAGAATATTTCAAACCTGGGGGTGTACTATGTTCATATTTTAAACTCATTAATTTTCAAGTGCTGAGTACTACAGGCCATTTTTTTAGTAATGGGGAACACAAAAAAAATCTAGCACACGCTTAAATATGTAATGTTAGGGACTTTAGGGGGAGGTTTAGTTTATTTTACCTGCTTGACATTCATCCAGTTCCATTGTGACCTGGACTGGTGCATTAACTGGTTTGAGAGACCTCCTTGCTGTGCATTGAGAAAGAAAACAGTTTAAGGTGGGAACATTCAAGGGAGAGGATGCAAAGGCCCAGCAGTGAGTGCAGCTGTCAGTGCTGGACAGGGACAATTTGCACTTTCCAAGGGGACAAGAACATGAGCCAAAATACAGAAGCACTGCCTGTCCCACCTGAGCGGATTGTGTTGGGCTGCGCTCCCAGCAGTGTCAAAGGGCTTTGCAGCAGGTGTGTCCTTGTCACCGTGTCACCGTGTCACCCTGCCAGGCAGGACAGCACAGGCACAGCCATCGGTTTGTGCAGCTCAGGAGTTACCCAGGGGACATTGCAGAGCCGCTGCTCCAGAGACAGCACCGGGGCAAAGCTCCTGTGCAAACAGGTGCCGCTTGTTGGGGACAATCAGCTTTTCATTGAGCCATCATGCTGCTATGGCACCAGAGGGAAAATGGTCTCATTTATGTGCAACAAAGACGTTTAAAAAACAATCCAGATTCCTTTTTTTAGTCAGTGCTAAGATTGGCTTCTGACTTCCTGTTCTCTAATGGGAGGGATTAGGCCCTTTATGTTTTGAAAGATACGGAGCCAATTCTTGTTACAAAATTCCAGTACTGAGATCAAATGAATGAACAAAAACAACTAGAAAAAACTTGATTTGTCAGAGAGGCACCTTCATTAGTGCTCTGTCTCTTTTCTGTCATAGGAATTGTTTTTTAAGCTATAATTGGATCTCACTGACAAAAGCTTCTGGCTACATATGTACAGATTTGTAAAATGCTGCCTTTCTGTAAGCCGGGCTGATCTGTGCCAGAAAATAGGAACCAGAGCTCCTCCCCCGTGTCAGTGCCAGGGACTATTGGTTAGTTCAGCTTGAAATGCACTCTGCAGCACACGGGTGTTGGCTCAATGCTTGCTCTTGAAAAGCAGGAAAAATCTTCCTTGGGCAGCGTTTTACATAACACTGCCCTGTGCAGAGTTAAAGAGAATTCCTTACAGAGCAGGTACTGCTGGTGCCAGTCACTGGCAGGAATTGTCTCCTCACCCCAGACCCTGTGCTGCTGTCAGGGATGCAGGAACAGAGTGGAAGTGTTTGCATGTTCCACTGCAGCAGAGCTGCTCACACTGCTGGAAGTGTTTGCATGTT